ACACACACACACACACACACACACACACACACACACGCGCACGCACAGAGAGAGAGAGATACGCGCGCGCGCGTACACGCACACTCACACGCACACGCACACACGCTCATAACCCCGCACTAGGGAAACCCTGGGAAATCGCAGGTGCCATGGACACATACATAGACAACCACAAATTATACCCAAACTCAAGATAAACATAAATGTAGGCCATACAAATATTTCTTCCGGCCCAGGAATAGAACTCGGGACCTTTGCGTGGCGGACCAGCATGGTAACCGTGCGGTCACGGAGGCAGTTAAAATTTTGCTTAAGTGACTGTCTTAGAAGTTATCGTCGATACCATGTACTCGTATTAGTTATAATAATAATAATAGAATGTTATTACGAAAATAATATACAACGTCGTAAAGATAATTAGTTACTGTACATTCAATATTTAACAAAATATTGAATGTACAGTAACAAAAGGAAAATTTCTCAGATTTGAACATACGACAATGAATAAACCGTATGCAAGTAAGCAAGGCCAACCAAGGAGTACATCGTCAGTTACCATTATGAAATTATTAGCAAATTATTCAAAAAAGACAATCCATTTCATATCGGCACTTAGATGAATTGATATGAATTGTGAAGGGAAACGTACTGTTGTCCGTACTTGATAACAATAAGCATCATTACTGTAGAGAAAGGGGTTACTAGCACGATGATTTCGTTTTAATTATATTGCTACACAAAGGGCTTCCGGGTACTTGGTTGTTTAATCAGTTGGATCGAAGAATTGCCTAACCTATCGATTATTATGCACTAGTAAATATTTATTGTATATACTAGTATAGTTTCATTGACCCATTCACATGTTCCACTGCTGGGCACGGGTCTTCGACGTGCGGGTTTCCGAGAAACTCGAAGAAAGCCCGGATTTGAATCCACGACCTCTGCTTGAGAAGCGGTAGGTCAAAGCGTTATACCACAGCTGTAATTATAAATAATTTATTATTTGCTTTCTTTGTCATCTCAATGTGTTGCTTATTCTTTTAAATATTTTTTTGTATTTAGAAGTTACTTTTCCCAAATGATATAATAATAATAATAACGCACACACTCACATAGCCCCGGACTAGGGAAACCCTGTGTCGCGGGTGCCATGGACACACACATAGACAACCACAAATTACACTCAAACTCACGAGAGAAATAAATGTTGGCCATACAAATATTTCTTCCGGCCCGGGAATCGAACCTCCTCCTTTGAAATCGATTAAGTAAAAAGAAATAGTCGAGTTCGCAGAGTAGCGATTTTACGTTGCTTACTTCCATTTTTATGCTTATTCCTTTTTACATAAACCGTAGGTTATGGTTGTTTTCTTCAAGCAGGTCTTGTTTTTCTTGTATTTGCTTTTTTGCTTGCTTTTCTATTTTTGGGTGGTAATTTATTTATATTTTATTTACGACGTGAATGTAAATGTGCGTACTTGCTCGCTTTTCCATAACATATTTTTTTTCTTTTTTTTTATGAAGTGACGGGATGAAAAATGATTTTTTATATCGTGCGCCTAATGGTAACTACATGCCTGTTCATAACTGTTGCAGCACCACTCAGAGCTTAAAATCGCAAAGACCTGAGGGGCACTGCCATTGCGCCTGTCACCCTGAGACATAAGTTAACAATCGCACGTGTCTGTAATTTCAGCAGCACCCTTACCTTTCAAAACCGGAACACAGTAGTCTGACATTACTGCTTGGCGGCAGAAATAGGTAAGGTGGCAGTACTTCCCTGCACGAGTTTTTTCACAAGGAACTCTACTGCTGCAAAATATACAGTTTTCTCTAATAACAAATGCAGTACTTAAGTAAACGTATTTCTGTTTCGTTTGTATGTTATAAATTCTTCCTAAAACGGTAAAGTAGAATAATTTTTGTTTCTTACTTTGACGTTGGCACTAGGTAATCTAGTGCCGTTGTTAAAAAAACATATTAACGTTTTTTGATACAGTATTTTCTCCACGTGATATCAGAAACGCTTAATTGTGAGTTCTTCTTAGGTTTTTGCTATTGGATATGAAACTATTTTTTCACAGATCTATATCAAATATTTATAACGTATATACATATTTCTCCTTTTTCTCTCGTGCCTTTGCAATTATTTCTTTACATTTACTATTACTATAGTAGATGTAATTTAATTTTTTTTTAAATAACTGCACTACAATATTTAGTGCCAACGTTAAAGTAAGGAACAAAAGTTATTTTTATTTTTCCCTTGCCCAAAGCGCAAGAAGATAATATGGAAACATGCATCTACATAATATACACTACTTACTTTACCGTTTTGGGAACAGTTAAAAACAAACAAAAGAAAAGAAAAACATTTACCTAAGTACTGTACTTATGGGTTAATAGAGAATACTGTATATATGTAGAAGAAAAGCGAGCACGTAGGCGCATTTAAATTCATGTCGTAAATAAAACTAAATATATTACCATCTAAAAATAAACGCAAGAAAGTAAATAAAACAAAACCTGTTTGAAGAACAGTCGTAAACTACTGTTAGTGAAAAACATGTTAAGCCTAAAATTGGAAGTAAGTAAGTCAGCTAGGCAACTTTGCTATTCCGCCAATCCAACTATTTCTTCCATTTTTATTAACAATTAATATGCATTGCTTATTATATATATACATATATTGCAACGTCTGATTATAATTAATTATTCAACGGATTATGCAACAAAGTGAGATGTAAGGAAAGATAGTAAATAATCAGTCGAAATCGTTTTACCGTACCGTCTTTCTTTAAATCTTTTTACAATTGCCGAGTGTTTGCTACCGACTGTAGAAAGGATTTTGTAAAATGCGAAAAAGCAAGATTCCATAAAAATACATACCAAAAAATTTTCACATCTTACTCTTGCGGAAAATGGAATGAGAGTCACTTTTATATTTATTACCTTTGAAACCCTTCGCAACGAGTCCATCCCATCCCTATTTGTTAACAATTGACAATCACTGTCACAAAATCCGAACACTATTTGTATATATATCTATTGTATATATCTTTGAGACATCGATGAAATAAAAAAAAAATTGCCCGTCACGCGCGTTCTGTTGCGCTCCTGTGGCCTATCATCTCGATTCTTGATTCAAGTCCACAGTTCATGAATTCGTCAGTCAGCGAGCGATTGCCGCGTGGTGCAGATGTGTCGCGTGTCGAAATCGATATACTTTCCCGCGTTTTCGATTGTCATATTTTAAAAACTTTTCTCGATTAGTGTTGTGCTTTCGTGTAACAATGACTAGTTTCAGTGTTACTAATATGTGTTGTTAATATAACATTTGTGTTTGTGCTAGCAGTTGTGAAGTTTGTAGTTATTCACAATAGAGGATTTTCAAGTTGAATGTCATTTTTTTTCCATCCGTGAGTACGAATCTCCTTGTACTGTTATTTCTCTTGATTTTACTCCTATTTATACGTCATTAATGACCTTGTTCAACACGAGTTCATTTCCGAATACTTTTGATGCGTTAAGCTATACGATATCTATGATTGGATTATGTGTACTTTATAAGGTATTTACACAACCTGATTACACTTATCAGTGATTTCGAACCGGATATAATCAAAGGGCAAAATTACATTTCAAATACCGGCTCACATTAGGGAATTTTCATCAGTTATTTTATAAATTGTCTATTACTTATTAAGTTAAATTAGAAGCATTTTCGTTTTTAATACGTTTTGGTAATTTTCACTACCTTTGCACGTTGAAAAGGAAACTGAGTAGAATGTCGGTACACATGAATATAAACCCAACGTCGGATGATTTAATTTTTACATTTCTTTTTTTTCATTTCATTCATTCATTCATTCAGTCTTTTTTTTTGTGTATAATTGAGTGAGTCTGGGTTGTAGTTACCACGCGAACCCGATGCGGAATGAGAACTTCAATCACATCATTAAATTGCTTTGCAGATGTGTGCAGTTTTCCTCACGATGTTGCCCTTCGCCGGAAAGCTAATGTTCATATTAAATTCAAATTAAATTCCGAGAAACTCAAGCTGGATTCGAACCCACGACTATCTGTTTGAGAGGCAGTAGATCAAACCATTAGGCTACCTATTAGAGCTATTAGAGCTCGTGCAATATATGTAGCTATGTATGATACGATTTGACACGAGTCACAGCTCAAAATGTACAGTGGTAAACTGAACAAACGTTGACCTAAAAATTTGCCTAATGTCATTTACTACAACAGTTTCTCTCCAACTCGTAAAATATACAACCGGCCACGTTATTCCAGCCACCTTGCATTTTAAATAGTTTTTTTATAATATCAAGTGACGGAACGAACAAGTCGTGCGCCTGATGGTAAGCTACACGCCTGTCCATAATAGTTGCAGTACCGAGCTTTAAATCGCAAAGATCTGAGGGGCACTGCCACTGCGCCCGTCACCCTGAGACATATGTCTCAGATCTGACAAGACACATGTGCCTGTAATTTCACCAGCACCCTTCTAAACAGGAACGCAGTAATGCTAACATTACTGCTTGGTGGCAGAATTAGGTAAGGTGGCAGTACTTTCCTGGAAGAACTCTCTCACAAGGACCTCTATTGCTGCTAAATATTAGTATTATATGCCCAGCTTAATAAAAAATCTTTGATTTATAAAAAATATTAATGCTGGTATTACTAAACGTCATTTCCGTAAGTCCTCGTTTCGGATGAAGAATTTGGATGTGTAAAACCGGGGAAATTATTAAGCGATGTATTTCTAATAAATAATGAAAACTTGAGATGTGGGGAATTTGTGGGGAATATGAACTTTGCTCTCCCCAAATTTGGGGATTTTAACCGTGATTTTTCGGAATTTTGAACAATTGGCATTGGCAACGCTGATTGTATCGAATGATGTGACTTAATATCCAAGGTTCACCACCTCCACCAGATCTTTTAATATTATTTACTTTATCCATTTTGTAGAACTCTTACAACGTCCTATAGAGTAAAAACTCTAATCGTAGTATTATTTTAAATAAAATCTACTGAAGACGCGCTATAATGTGTTTGTCATAAGTACAAACACTACAGAATATCTATAAATTAAATATATCTAGAATAAACTTAAGAACACTAGTTTTTAGAGTATTAATAAACTTTACTGGATGTGTATAGAACAATTGTACTAAAAATAATCAGGTGTTCTACAGATGAACTTAAATAAGGACTATAGGAGCAAATCTTAAGAGAGATTACACTTAATTAAGTTGTTTGGTATTAAGAATGTTTTAAAAATTTTGACATGAGTGAAATAAGTGTATAAGAACAATTTCTTTTTTCTAAAACCATTTATAGAGAACTATTATCTAAATCTATAAATCTATACCATATTAAGACTGTCTATAGATATAACAATTTTAAGGCCTATAAAGTGTGCTCCTTGGGCGCCTTTCGATCCGAGAACGTTATCCAATCGAACGATTCGGTTAAAATATCGAAGAGTTCTGAATCGGGGTCCTGAACACATTCCATCACAAAATATTTTTTGCAAAATGTTTCTGTCCTAAAGTTTCTTTCACCATGCGCATTAAAGTATTATTATTAAAAGCAATCCATATTTATAAATAGTAAAACAAATAGTACAACTTTTTTATAAAAAAACCGACCACAAAAGTTTGTGGAATTAATCTATTTGCCCGTTTTATTGAAATCGTTTACCGGAAAAAGCGCGAAACCGGATTCATCCCTTAGTTTGCCATCCTTATTGGTGGAATATTTTCTTCAAATTTAATTGACTTTAAAAACTTTTAGGTACCCTCTTTCCAACAAAAAAGAATCATCAAAATCCGTTCACAGTTCAAGTTCAGCTGTTAGTAATAATTAAAAAAAATACAGTGGAATTGATAATCTCCTCCTTTTTTGAAGTCGGTTAAAAATCATCTTAACGTCATTATTACACACACACTTCTACATTATTCTACTTACTACATTAGTTATAAAACATGCTTGAGTATCGGACGTTTAAAACCGTGTTAGGTTAGTGTTATCAGAGTTTTTCTTGAATCCAATGAACAGACGAATACTATATTCCGTAACCAGTCACAATTACAAACGGAATTGTCAATGCGATAGTGATGTAACAGAGTCGCTGACATTGGCTGCTTTAATTATTTTCCATGGTAACATATCACGTTATTTGTTAGCCGTCACGATTTAACAAGTAAGTAAAATGTATGGCTTTGTAGGAAGACGCTTTAAATTTTCCGTCGACTATACCCACTTGCCGTGCACGTCCACGACTTATTAAAAATGAAAGTGTCGTCCTACAATCCCATACGTTTTACTTACTTGCTAAAACGTGACGGTAAAAATATAGTAACGTTATAGTTACCGTGGAAAATTATAAAAGCCACAACTACGTAGTGGCACCTATTTAATAATTCATTGTTGTGAGTATTCCTTTTTGCAGTATTTCTCGAAGTGCTTAAGGTAATGAAAAGTAAATAGTTTGACGACCGCGGTGGCCTAACAGTTTACATTGTGGGCGCTGGATGCGGAGGTCCCGGGTTCGATTCCCGTCAGGACCAAATTGGGAAATGAACTTTTCTAAATGGGTTTGGTCTGAGTGTTCTGGGAAGTGCCCAGATTTCCGCGGCTCTGGTACTCATAGTACAGGGAATTCCCCAGTTTGAGACCAGGCAAATGGTGTGGTTGTCTGGCACATATTATTATTATCGGTTTGATAAAAATTAACATGATAAAAATGTTAATTTTTATGTTAATAAATATTATTTCGATACCTCCAACGAACTCTACGCCAACTTTATTTTTTTGGTCATTTTCTGTTCTTTTTGTAAACAATGATATTTATTTACTTATATTTTGCTCCCCGAATTTTGTGAAAATAAACGTAAAACAAAATTCGAAAAAAAAAACGGATAACAATTTTGTGACAATGAACAAAATAAAAACGAACATGTCCAAAAATTAAGTTGGCGCGTTAGTGTTCTTTGGAGGTATCTATTAGTGCTAGCCCTTGTAGCTATAAATAATTTATTTATCTATTTATTCACGGAAAACCACCAGCTACAAAATACTTAATAAAAATATACAGTCAATTCCAACCAACAATCAAACATAAGCACTGAATAAGCAGCACGTGTTAACAACAAGCGCTTAACATAAGGGAAACTCAAAACCTGAGTCAAAATCATGAATTACTCAATAAAATTAAGTAAAGTGTGTGCGAGTTTACGCTTTAACGCATTAACATTACAATTGAGTTTATCAACATCTAGATCATGAATGCTCAGCATACTATCCAAACTCTTGCCAGCTTTAGAAAGAAAACTATTTTGTCTATTGTAAGTTCTCGCTAATGGAAACAGGACGATAGTAACAGGATTATAGTGTCCACTAACTAACTTTACCGTTTATGATGTTGAGAATAATATACAATATCAAAAATTTGTCGGCGAGAGGTAGTAGACCCTTACGATGTGGTATTAGAATAAATTGTAAGACTCACTCATAGCACACGAGTTTAATAATTACACAAATCGTAACTTTACAAAAACGAAAAGGTGTGGCAGTTAATGCGGTGTGATGTATTGTAGTGTTGCGTGTGCTTTATTTTGGTGTTGTCTTCCGCTAAGTTTATTCATATTGTTAGTTTTTATAGCTATTCAAAAGTAATATTAAATCACAACGAAGTTAACATAATTGTCCCACCTTTATTTTTTCAAAGTATACTACAAACAATATAATCATTTTTTGCAAAGAAAAATATATATTCAAACGTTTTGATAAGGACAACAATTGAAGCGCGACGGAACGATATCCGTAAAGGAACAGTGAAACGACCTCGAAAATACGAGGAATTAATTTACAGTACGTAGTCAATGAGTATAAAAAGGCGTTCTATGATGTCTACTTTGACAGCCATCCGAGCACGTAATATTTTGATTGTGTGATTGATACTGAATGTTAGCGGTTGAATCGATTGTATTCATCTTTAGCAAAATTTTAGTGTAAATAAATAATTGAAATGGATTTGCCTTTTGCGTTACATCTTAATTTGTAAATATCACTTCGACGGTCCAAGGGAATAAAGCCTTAATGACATGTTGTGCCATACTTTTATTTATTTCATAAGTCGAATCAGAGTCTTGTGAATTTATTTCACGCGTCCACGTACAAAACTTTCAGAATTATTTCAGTTGACATCTTATTTTATTCAGAGAATAGTGGACACAATAACGTTTTAAAATATTACCGATGACATAGTTGTTGAGGATGTTACAATACAATACAATACAAAATGTTTTATTTCTCTCAAAAAGGTTTACAAAATGCAGATTTGTAACGTTTCATGTTAAATATGAAGCACCTTAGTGAGACCTGGAGTCTGTACTAGGTT